AACAGCAAAAAGATGGAAAAAACCTAGGTTTCCATCAACGGACAAATGGATAAACAAGTTATGGTATATCTACACAATGAAATACTACACAACGATAATGAAACAACAATGATGCTGGGAAACATCTTATAACATGGAGAAAATCTGGATGTCATTATGCTGAATCAATTTAGTCAGTCACAGAAAGACAAATATTGTATAAGACCATTATTATAAGAACTCAAGAAAAGGTTTAAGCACAGAAGAAAACATTCTTTGATGGTTACGAGGGTGGGGAGGGAAGGGGAAGATTATTTACTAACTAGATAGTAGATAAGAATTCTTAGGTGAAGGGAGGACAACACACACTACAGGGGAAGTCAGCACAACTGGATTAAACCAAAGCTAAGAAGTTTCCTCAATACAAACACTTCAAGGGACAGAGTAGCAAGGGTAGGGTCTGGGGACCATGCTTTCAGGGGACATCTAGGTCAACTGGCATAACAAAGCTTATTAAGAAAATGTTCTGCATCCTACTCTGGTGAGTGGCATCTGGGGTCTTAAAAGGTTGCTAGTGGCCATCTATGATGCATCAATTGGTCCCAACCACCTGGAGTAAAGAAGAATGAAGAACACCAAAGACACAAGGAAAGTATTAGCCCAAAAGACAGAAAGGGCCACATAAACCAGAGACTTGATCGGCCTGTAACCAGAAGAACTAGATGGTGCCCAGCTACCACCAACGACCGCCCTGACAGGGAACATAACAGAGAGCCCCGGATGGAGCAGGAGAAAGGTGGGGTATGGAACTCAAATTCTAGTAAAAAGACCAGAGTTAATGGTCTGACTGAGACTAGAGGAATCCTGGAGAGCATGGCCCCTGGATTCTCTATCAGCCCAGAACTAAAACAATATCCGAGGCCAACTCTTCAAACAGGGATTAGACTGGACTGTAGGACATTAAGTGATACTCGTGAGGAGTGTGCCTCTTAGCTCAAGAAGATACAAGAGACTAAACGGGCAGCTTCTGTCCGGAGGTGAGATGGGAAGGCAGAGAGGGTTAGGAGCTGGCTAAATGGACATGTGGAATCAGGGGTGGAAAGGAGGAGTGTGCTGTCACAGTATGGGGAGAGTAATTAGGGTCACATAACAACGTATATACAAATTTTTGTATGGGAAAAATGAAAATTAAAAAAAAAATGAGCATAATTTTATTGTTAGATATCCTGAGACAGCAACTGACAGTATTATGATAAACTGGTACCTTCCCTCTCAAAACAATTTAGCAGTATTTATCAAGAGCATTTAAAACATTTGTAATTTAGCCCAAAGAAGTCCTTTCTTGAGATTTATCCTAAGAGATGCAGTTAGAGATTTACATACAAAGTTGTTCATCAAAGTGTTATATAAAGTACTGGGAGGGAGGGGGAAGGACAGAAACAGGCTAACAGTTTAAAAAAAAAAAAAAAAGAAGAAGAAAAAAATCTGGCACATCTTCATAACAAGCTATTATGTAGCCAATAGAAGCCAACTTAATGACATGAAAAAATGCTCAGCACATACTGTTGGGTCAAATTCAGAATACATAACTACATTTTCATTATGACCTAACGTGTAAATATGTCAAAAAGTACGTAGGAGAAAAAAAATATCGGAAAGAAATACATTAAAATCCTAATAATATAATTTTCTCCTGTGAGAGCTTTTCATAGAGACCCTAACAAGACAGAGTAGAACTGCCTGCCCCACAGGGTTTCTAAGGAACGACTGGTGGATTCGAACTGCCAAACTTTTGGTTGGCAGCTGAGCTCTTAACCACTGTGCTGTGACTCAGAATTCAACTGAATGGCAACGGGTTTGGGTTGTTTTTCAAACATACCCTTCAAGTACATATTTCTAACATTTTAGTTATTTTATTGTATTCTTTCCATTTTTGTACCTTTCTGTTATTTGAAAATTCTTTATAATGTGCACTTTTTACAATTAAAAAAATGTATTAAAAATTGTTTTTAATTCAAAAATCAGTGTGTTCAGGTTTATAATAAGTCAACAGATTATTCAGGATGTAAAAATAACAGTTCTAAGATCAGACTATATATATTCCATATTGCTGGTGCTAATGCACACACTGTATTCACAACTAAAATTTCTCCATGAAATCAAAAAGGAATGTGAGTCATTCAAGTTGTCATAAGTCATCCCACAATACAGAGAATTGGCAGTATTTTTTTTTTTTAAGTTTGCAAGCTCTGAATCTTAATATTACTGTTTATTTCAGCAGGGTTTTAAGCTTAAAATATACCTCACTGTGCTCAGTATATACTACAATTGGAAAAAAAAAAACTAGAAAAGATTAACCTTCCGTAAACACATTTTACTTATTAGATAAACCAATCTCCTATAAATAAATCATTTAGTTCAAAGATTTACAGTCCCTCATGCATTAAGGGATAAAGATAAAAGATCTTCCATTACTCTTCAAAGATCAGAAAAAAAAGAGGTGGTTTACTGTTGAAACCCGTTGTTGAGTTGATTCCGACCCACAGTGAGTGACCCCATGCGACTGAGTAGAACTGCCCCGTAGAGTTTCCAAGGAGTAGAACTGCTGACCTTTTGGTCAGCAGCTGAGTTCTTAACCACTGCGCAAACAGTGCCCCAAGGGGGGAGAAAGGGGCTCATGTTAAAAAAAAAAAAAAAAAAAAAGTAAAAACTACTGCCAACACCAAAGTTCTTCTCAGTTTATCTCTAATTAACACAAAATAATTTTAGGTAAGGATTCAAAGGATGAATGGGCTAAGTTCAGCCTTACAGTAAATAAGCTGCCGAATAAAGCACTTGTATGTTTTCCTTACAAGGTCTTTTATAAACAATTGCTGCTTCATTTTCAATTTTCAAGAGCTTTAAAGTCCCTTCAGGTAATCTCAGTACAAAAGATTGAATTTCGATATTTATTATTACAGCAAGCTCAAATTTATTATAATGTCTAAGCCAGTTTTAAATAACTATCTCATTTGTCCTCATAAATCTCCTTTAAAATTGGGCAAATATTACTATCCCCATGTTATAGCAAGTAGTATGCCCACTGGTTATGCTGGTTACTCAATTCTCTATCTTCTGACTCCTGCTTCAGTATTATTCCAACAAGAAGGTAAGCTCCAAAAGGGTAGGGATTTCTCTCTGCTCCGACAAGAGTGCCTGGCACATATAGGCACTGTTCTATGTATCAATGAATAAATTTACACCATAGAAACATGCATAAGGAGCTAAAATAGTGGAAAAATCAGTATAAATCCTCCAAGGCTATTGTGAACAAGTAAATAATCTAAGATCTATTATTCTGACAACATATCAGTACCTAGATTTTATCTACTATAGCATACTGGAAAGAATTTGTTTACTTAGATAAAACAAAAGTCTGTTTCACACATATAATTGTACAAAGAGTTACTCAGTGTGTATTTTCTAAGTTTTATTAAAAATATATTAATGTTTTTACTAAAAAAGGAAATAACGAGTTAAAAATTAAAGATAAAAAAATGAGTATATGATACGAAAAATAATGATTTAGTAAGATGGTAAGATAACAAAAAGGGAAAATACTTTTTCTCTCCCACAAAATAGGCAGTAAAACATTTGCATAATCCATTCATTTAAAATATGTAAGGCTTGTCGTATTGTGGTAGTTTGTGTGTTGCTATGATGCTACAAGCTATGCCACCAGTATTTCAAATACCAGCAGGGTCACCCATGGTAGACAGGTTTCAGTGGAGCTTCCAGACTAAAACAGACTAGAAAGAAACGCCTAGTGATCTACTTCTGAAAATTAGCCAATGAAAATCTTATGGATCACAATAGAACATTGTCCAAAGCAAGTTGGGCACAACTCCCTTGCTTTGGACACATCATCAGAACAGATTAACTGCCAGAGGAGGACATTATGTCTGATGAAGTACAGGGTGAGGCCAACCCTGGGTGACATGAATTGGCACAATAGCTGCCACAACGGACTTGAACATGCTGGCAATTGTGAGGATGACTCAGGATTGTGTAACATTTCATTCTGTTGTATACGAGGTTGCCATGAGTCACAGTTGACTCAACCACAACTCACAACAAGTTATTTCGTAATTATAAAATATACCTACATCTTTTGTTGGAAGGATCATCTTTATATTTTAGAAACCTGGTGTTTATGAAGATGGAATATATGCACTTCTTAAAATATTGTATGTTGTCCTTTTACCTCTATGTCTTTAAACAAAATTACAGAGTTTAAATTATAGAATTGAAAAAAATATATAGAATGCCCTTTCTTTTGACATTCACCAATTTCATAAAAGTACCAGAAAGGCTGTTAATGAAACTTAGCCAAAAGAACACATACATATATTAAAAAAATTCTGTATGCATATCAATGGGTTTAGAGAAGCTATTCTTATGGACTCTTACATTATAAAAATCACATCATTTCACTATTCATAGATACATGTGTTCTTAAAAACCTTTTCCATGACATTTATATTATTTAACATTTTTCCTAAAGGACTAAGTGTCTGTCAATGTTACTACAAAACAAATAGTGAAAAACAGAAAAGTGGATCATAAAATTCTGCTATGAATTTTTATTTCAGAATAGGAATATGTTTGATGTTTAAAGTATTTAATTCGAAGCTACTGAGGTGTAAAAATATAAGTATTATCATCACTGAAATATATCAAGTGAGATTTGATAATGTAACTGACAGCAATTGTACTAAGACATTGAAACATTCCATTTTTAAGGAAAAGTAATCACATCAGTATAAATATATAACCATTCATTGAAAATGTATATTGAGAATTATGCTGATACACTACCACATACCCCAAAGATCATGCTATTAATGTTTCCTTATACTAAAATAACTAATAAGCTTTAATGATGAACGCTAATTCAATATTTTTTCAAAGCATATAAATAATCAAGAATCTGCTATTTTACCGCTATATCCATACTCTAATTTCATCAATATTAAGCTTACCTTTCTTTTCGGTCCAGACTGCTTAAAACATGAAAAAGAAAAAAAAAGTAAGAGGCAAGACCTCATTGTTGCTATATCATTGTAGCTTTAGTAACAGCAGTCAATAAGATATAACTATAATGTGATCAATTTGTTTTAAAGACATTATATACACGTTATATACAATATTTTAAATCTTGTCAAATATATACACTGTGTTTCAATTTTTGTCAATACACAAAAGTTTATATTTAAATAATCTTCCTCTTAACACATTTAACAGGAAGAAAAAAAAATGTATAAAAATAGGAAAGATCCTTGAAAGGCTTTATTTAACTATAAAACATTTTAAATTTTTAGTGGTTACTAAATTTTAACTATAAAACAGTAAATTTTTAGCGTTTCCAATCCTATTATCAGGTATGATTACTTGCTTTTGAGTAAGGGAAAAAAAAAAAATTAAAGGCTGAAACTTTTGCAGAAAAGTCTTAGATTAAACAAATGTTTGGGACATAAGAAAACGCCTGAAGTTTGAAATCATGGCCTCTTACCACAAGTCCAAATTATAAAAGTTTCACCCTTCTCCAAAGTTTATGAAAAGCTAAAAGGCTACTAGCATCAATTACTCAAGAATAAAATTATATAAACTCTCAGTACAGAATAAAACAAGATTCACATCCTATAATTATTCCTCTATTAAAAACAATTAAATATTCAGAAGTAACTATAAGCAAAGCGCAATTGACAAAATCCCTGAGTTCCCATATTAATTCTTGTATTCCTATGATGTGGAGTACAACTAGTAAAAAATTAATCCTGGTAAACTAAGAAAAAGTAAATCTGTAACTTACTTTTATATGTATAACATTCAAAAGAAACACATTAAAAAAACACTTTTCATTAATTTGAAATTTTACGTTTGCTTTCAAAATAAATGCAAATAGTTTGTAAAAAAAAAAAAACAAAAGAGCTATGCTATACAAATGACAGAAAAATGAGACTCCTGTCACATCTCTGTTAAAGTGAAACAAAACTCTATCTTACCCTATATCTTTATTTCTTATGAAGCTATATTTTCAGAAAAATAAAATGAAAACCAAAAGTCAGGTATTAATATCTAATCTAGCCACTCTCAAGTCTATACTCCTATACCCAAGGAGTGAAAAGTTTAAAACGTTCAAGTTTATTGTTTTTTAAACTCACCTGTAGAGAGGAAAGGGAAGAGGTAGAGGACATAGAAAAGGTAAAAGAAACAAGTTTGGTTCTTCCCAATAAATCAAGAGAGTCAGGAAGAAAAATAAGCAAAAAAAAAAAAAAA